CCCCAAAACCCCAAAACCCCAAAACCCCTTAAGACAAGATAATGCAGAATTATGTATAAATATTAAAGGGGTATAATCATTGTTTAGTTTGATATATTATTTCCGAACTTCTCTTTTTCAATTCATAATTTTCAACAATAAGGATGGGAGTGAAATTAAGTTATTTATTTCTGTAATCATTAAAAAGTTTGTATTTGCTCAGGTAAATTCTGATAGATATCGGCATTTTCAACTATTTAGAATAGGGACATCTAGAGGTTTTAATTTTATGCTTGAGGCATATTCTAAATAATCTAATTTTCTTATTGGTGTCTATGCTTTTTAATTTAGTTACTGTTTTGCTCTGTCAATTCATCTTTGATATTCCGCCTTGAGTTACTGGAATGTCTCGAATTAGAGACTTATTAGGACTTAGCAGGAATTATGATTTGATTTGGAATGTTAATATTTAATTATTGAGATGGTGCTTATGCCTAATTCACATTATCATCAAGAGTTTTAGATAGTTACGTGTTAGTTTTATACATTTTTCTCATGATATTATTGTAGCTTTCAATTTTTTACTTTCTGTGTAAATTTTCAGAATCTATGTTCAAGGGAATACTTATCTAATTAGACTGATTCTATTACTTTTAAAATTCTTAAGTCTTAAGGAGTTTTTCCTCCTGATCACGTGAAATAGGATGGACTATAGGTATATTCTGAGGATCTAAAGATTTTTGGGATAATGTGATCTATTGATCTTCTTAAATGATAGCAATTTTTACTTTTTCAGGATCAGTAATGGAATGACCCTCCTTCCTAGTTTTGCAAACACTTTTTATTATCTTTTACTAAACTTAACTGCCTGAATTAAGCTTTAATTAACTCCTCCTAGGTCTACCTCTTTTACGTTTTATTAAAAGCTATCTATCCTCAGATGAAGCTATTTTATACTATTTTTCTTCATTTTGGCCGCTTATTTGGCTTTGACGTATTTGTATTAGTTTAATATATTTATTACTATGGGGTCTTTAAGATATCTTAGATTCTTAAATGTTTTGATCCATACTCTCTTCATTGCTATCTGGTTCAATCAAGGACTTGTCACTCTGTGAAATACCGTTATTTTACTCAGTCAGATGAACAGTTTCTTCTTTACTTATTCTGTCTGGCATCGACAAGAGTTTTGAGATTAATTAAGTTCGTAAGTTATTATTGTTATTGTTCATCTGGCTCACATATTTCGATTCCTCCTGTCTCGAGCTTAAGTCTGCATCAGATCATACCTTTGAGTAATTTTCTCTCTTCTGGTCAAGTAGCCCTCTAATGTCGTTGATAGCTCTGCCAATTTTGCTAAACGAATTGTAAGAAAATGATTCTAAGATTTGGGAGGGATGACTTACGTAGAAAGCTAGGTCTAATCTGAGAGGCATTGAAAGGTAAAATTAAGTATTGAGCATAAGTCTTATTGTAAATCTTTTTGAGCCTTCCTAGGTTTATCTTATTCAAAAACACTAGGTGTTGAAATAGATCCATTATCTTGCTGGATTTAATCCTGCAATTAATTATCCTTAATCAGCCCTTCAATGATGCAATTATATTGAGGGCCATTAAGTTGGTCCATTTGATTCTCTGCTTTGGTTAAGCTAATGAGAGCTCGGCCAAGAATCTTTTGGACTTTATGAGTATTTTTTGTGGTTCCTAAATAAAATGATGAGGATTTAAAATGGAGTGAATTGATGCATATTAATGGTGTGAAGACTGGATATACTTTCTTACTTTTATTAATCTACCACAGAGTAGGAAATAAAGAGTGCGAATTATTATTCATTAATTATTAAAATCTGCAATCGAGAATCATGTTATTAAAACATTTTAGCATATTTAACTCCGTCAACAATAATCACAGTTTATGCTTTGCAAATGATTTGACATTACGGGGTTTTGGGGTTTTGGGGTTTTGGGG